CTTTCTATATTTTTAAAAGCTCAGTGCTTTAAATTTCTCTTCAAAGTATAATGTTATAAAATATTGAAATTATAATAACCAACAAAGTTATAAATAAAATCTACATAATTTTTATTTAAATTTACAAAAATAGACAAAAGAAAAATTAAAACAGCATTTTCTTGAGAACAGCTGGTAGGATCTTCTCCAATATCTGAAAAGATATATAATAGCAAAGGGTAAAAACAATGAAAAAAAGAAACTGAACAAAATTGAAAAAACTGTCAAAAATTTCAAACATCACAAAAATTCAGGTTTGAAAGATCTGCTTCAAGAGTGAGCTCAAATATCTTGGTAATCTTTTTCTACATACTTCAAATAAACTTGACTAAAACTTGCACAAGTATTGCAAAAAGATATCAAGCAAAGCCTCTGAAAGAAGTTCGTATTGTATTGTTTTTCAAAGCGAAAACCATCACGTTTCCAGTCAATGACAAAGACATGTATTTAGTGAATTCATGGTATTGAGAAAGGTAGATTTACTTACTGTTTTTATCCAACCTGCATGTGTTATCCAGTGCTAGATATAACATAACATGTAAACAAGGTAAATGGCCAAAAGCACGTAAGAGAAATTCCTGTAACCAAATTCGCACTTCCTTTAAAAGCTGCACGTTTCCCATACAAACAGCTGATAATCAATGTTGATCAAACGTTTGAGTCAAGCAAAATTCCACTTACTCTCGAAACGTTTTGGTAATTTTATGAAGAGTTTAAATTTCACCAGGAATAACCACACATTCGGGTGTATACAAATCATGAACAAGTATCGACTAGTCGATGGAAAGATGATACATATACCTTATCTTATCAAATTTGCATTTTTTAGGGGATATATTTTGCTAGAGTTTTTTTTTTTGAAGAGAAAAGAAATTTCGGAGTGTATGGCGTTTTGACACGTAACGATAAATTAGCATATAGACAAGCAATGTTATGTTTCATTTTTTCTTACGGTACCTAAAATCATATTTATTCTAATAAGTTTGTAACTATATATATATATATATATATATTAATTAAATAAGTAGAAATTGAATAAATTGACAAACAATTCATTTTTAAAGAAAAGATATGTATTGGTACATGTACGTACTACGCTGTATTCATTAGGTGATGCAATGTATACTCCATCCACAAAATCGCATGTTATGTTATACTCGGTGATTCATCGGTGTTAAGTGAATTTTAATCAGATCATTTGGGATCAAAATGGCGTTTCAACGGAAGCACGCCATGTTGTGACGTTGTAGAGAGCCCCCTTAAATATGATTAAAAAAAAAACTTCTGATGAAGATGATCAGGGTTGATGTTGCCCTTTTGACCATGAGATTGTTGTGTAATACATTTCTGTTGAGAAAAGCCTGATATATCATTTTCTGATCAAACGGTACTATGGATGTGGAGAGGTTTGGAGTTCAGGTGCCACCGTGCCAGCATTGAAGGTTTATATCTATCTTAAAGCAGTGCATTGTGACAAATTATTGTGGAGTATTTTTAGCTCACCTCAACGAAATTGGGGGAGCTTATGTAATACCGTCGGCGTTGGCGTCCCAGGTTAAGTTTTTTGGAGCAGTTTTCTTTTTAAGTACTTCTATGTCCTATATTGATTAGACATGCATGGAAGATGCTTCTAATGTGTTTCATTGTACCAGTCAAAGTTTCAGATGCTGCAATTTCAGCAAAGGAATGGCCAGGTTAATGTTTTTGGAGCAGGTTAACATTTTTGGTGCAGTTTTTGGTGCAGGTTTCATTTCCAAGTAACTATAAGCCCTATGTTGACCAAACTTGCATGGATGATACATCTAAGGATGCATACTATCAGGCTTGCTTCGGATGCTGAATCTGACCTACATTTTCCGGTTGAGTGAACAGGTTAAATTTTTTTGTGCAGGTTTCATTTCCAAGTAACTTTAAGCCCTATGTTGACCAAACTTGCATGGATGATACATCTAAGGATGCATACTACCGGGCTTGCTTCGGATGCTGAATCTGACCTACATTTTCCGGTTGAGTGAACAGGTTAAAGTTTTTGGTGCAGGTTTCATTTCCAAGTAACTATAAGCCCTATGTTGACCAAACTTGCATGGATGATATGTCTAAGGATGCATACTACCGGGCTTGCTTCTGATGCTGAATCTGACCTACATTTTCCGGTTGAGTGATAAGGTTAAAGTTTTTGGTGCAGGTTTCATTTCCAAGTAACTATAAGCCCTATGTTGACCAAACTTGCATCGATGATACATCTAAGGATGCATACTATCAGGCTTGCTTCAAATGCTGAATCTGATCTACAATGTACATTTTCCGGTTGAGTGAACAGGTTAAAGTTTTTGATGCATAATTCATTTCCAAGTCACTATGACTTCTTTAATGACCAAACTTGCACGGATGATACATCTAAGGATGCATACTACCGGGCTTGCTTCAGATGCTGAATCTGACCTACATTTTCTGGTTGAGTGAACAGGTTAAAGTTTTTGGTGCAGGTTTCATTTCCAAGTAACTATAAGCCCTATGTTGACCAAACTTGCATGGATGATACATCTAAGGATGCATAGTCGACTACCAGGCTTGCTTCGGATGCTGAATCTGACCTACATTTTGTGGATGAGTGAAAATGTTAGTTTATGATGAATGTATCATTTCCAATTAACTATGAGCCCTATAATGAGCAAACTTGCATGGACGATACATCTGCTGGATGCACACTAATGGACTTACTTTGGATGCTGAAAATCGACATACATTTTTTCAGATAATAGACCAGGTAAAAGTTATGGGTGCAGGTCAATTACCAAAAAACTTGAAGGCTTATATAACATTGTATAAACCAAACCAAACTTGCACAAATGTTGCATCAGGAAATGAAAACTCTCAAATTTGCTTCAGATGCTTAATTTCAATTACATTTTCATGAACAACTAGTTTAAATTTTTTATGTAGGTCTATTTCAATGTATTCGATCAAAATTGCTTAAATATTTTCATTTCTGGAATGTACACTTTTTGTTGGTTAATTGTGTGACTTTGCCTTACTTAAAGACAACATTCGTTGAGGTGAGCTCTGTAATCTCTGATTACCTATGTTCATACTTTCTGACCCATGTACCAAGTTTAAATAAATCCCATGCAGAAAAAAGTATACCTACAGAAAATGTACCGTACTAAATTACATACATACATGTATTGCCTTATAACATTTCTGTCATGCATGTTCACTTGATGTTACATCATGTCTCAGTTCTGAAGCCCAAGGCAATCTTTAGAGAAGAGAGTGTGTGTTTGGAAAAGCTTGTAGATTTTAAGTGATGCTGACACAAATACTGTAATTGTTTTCACTTTATTCCATTACATCAGATTATTGGTAGATATTTTGTCGGCCTCGTTTATGAATGGATGATTGATTAAATAAGTTAACCCTTGAACGAGAATAGAAACACAGGGTTCAGATCTCTGGAGCATTGTTTTATTAGCTTATTTGGTATTATATCTAAAAGCTTTATGTGATTGGACATTTTGTATCTTTAATGAATTTTGTGTAAATCTTCTCAAGAATAAATGATTTCATTTGTACTTCAGAATTACCATTTTAGGGCTGAAAGGTTTCTCCTAAAGCTTGGAAACAGACTGTTGTAAGATTAAATTGTCGAAGAATTTCTAGCAGAATGGCTTGGTTTCTATGGTAATCCCAAGATAGAAGTATTGAATTATTGGTTATAGAGTCTGATAATATACAATTATCAGGTTTTATGTGGGGGGGACTATTGGCCGCTACAGACGGTGATCTAACTCGGGAGGTAAAAGTAGCTATTGAAATTATTTACAGTTTCATGTTCCAGAGTTCACAATCATCATTATTTGTTTTCCAATCTAAGGAAAATTCCTGAATTTTGATTGTTTAAAAATATACAGATTTTTACTCTTTTAATAAAACATATTTACTGAATTCTTTCTGATTTAAATATGAAAGACATAAATATTTAAGAATCTCTTGTTTTCTTTATTTTATGCCCCGTCATGAATATTGCATGAGCATTTTATGTTTGTCATGTCCATCATCATGTCCGTCTGTCCTTGTGTTGCGTTTAGCTCATTTTAAAGAATTCATTCAAGATCTTTTAATCAAATTTTATATTCTGAATCATATTGATGAGAGATTTTCAACTGCAGTAACATTTGACTTTGACCTCTTTTTTTTGACCTTGACCTCACTTTTCTCAAATTAGTTTCAAAGACAAAAATCAAGATATTTTATGAAACTTCATATTCTGATACATATTGAGAAAAGCAATTTAATTTCTTAAACATTTTTTTTCTTTGATCGTTCATTTGATCTTGACCTTTTTTTCTCAAATCTTTGTGCACCTCAGTTTTAAAGAAACTTTTGAAGATAATTTTTTACATAAGCTTACATATATTTAAAGAGAATTGATCAACTTTATCAAATTTAATTTTTGCTTTAACCTTCCCAATGACTTTTGTCTCTATTATTTATAGCAAATTGAACTTTTGCAATTCTTGAAAAAACTATTTAAGATATTTTTGTCAATCTTCATACACTTAATACAAATTTTCATTTTGATTACTGATGAATCCATGACAGGGCATTCTTGCTTTATGGACATATTTCTAGTTATAGATGTACTCAAAACTGCAAACAATGTAAAAAGGATTTTAAAAACAATTAATAAGAAAGATCTGAATTCTTGTATTAAGCTTATAAAAACATTTTTAAGGAGAGTAGAATATCCATTTAGACTTCAATTTATTAGAATTACAAAATAAGAAAAATTTAGAAAACTATTAACCTTGTGTCAAGGCCAATGTCATTACTCAATACAGGATGAAGTTCTTTGTAAATTTCAAAAACCATTCCTTTGTTTATACTTCCTGAATGAAGATGCCCACAAATTATTTAATTTTTAAAAATTTTTGTTTGAAGTTTTTCAACTTGTATGCTTTTCAATTATGCCATATTTACCTAGGCCAAGTTTTCAACTTTTCCCAGATTCATTGATCAGAAGGAAATCGGCAGATCGTTAACGTGGGAAGATTAAGCATCTGTTTTATTGTGACGTAAAAGTGAGGCCCCAAAAAGAAAAATTAATGAAAATAGTAGCTACTAATCAAGTTCCTTACATAGATGTTTAAATTGAGGGGGTGTCATTAAAGAACATTTACATACAGAAATATTCTCCAAGAATAGAAAATTGATTTTCAATTCATCTAAAATCTATGTTAATGTTATTTCTAAAGAGTTCTAAGTAAAAAGAAGAAAGCTTTGCGTAAAGTTGGCCCCAGTGAAGTTATGTATGCTGAACTATAAGATAATTAGAATATTGAACATTTTTTTCACAATCAATAATTACCTTCCTACAGTCGCATGCTGTATAAGAATTCAGGCGGTAATTGTTTTACATGTGGACAGCCTTTTCAGTGGATGTCTTAAATCCAGCAATTTCTGTCAATTCACACATGAAATCTATCAATCAGGAATTGATCTAGTTTTCTCCTAGGAGTTCTTTATTGATTAGCATAATTTTGGTCTACGGAGGACCCATGCAGTTTATGAGCAAAAATTGATTTCCCAGTGTCACTTCTTTTGGTCCATCTCATCTTGTAAAATTTCAGGCACTAGGCTTAACTTTGAAAAAAAAATTGTGTTTAAAATTACAGTTTAAAACATTAAGAGTTGACTTTTTTGACAACTTAGATGTGGGTGTTGAGGAGACGTTAGTATTCCTCCCGTATTGGAATTCCGTGCTGGTCCTATTCTGGCAGTGGAGAGATTACTTTCATGGAGCAATCACGGTCAGTGTGAGGTAAAAAAAAAGTTTTTCATCGTTAAAATTTGCAATATCATTTTCTGTGAAAAGGTGTTATCATTATTCCTTATTTTTTAAAAATTATTTTTTTATTTTTAAATTTCAAAACTTTTTATTTGGCAAATATTAGAGATATGGCATGTCATTGAGATTAATTCCAGAGTACATGCAAGTTTTTTTTCTTGGCACAATCAACTTCTTTGATAAAGTTTGACTGTAGTTTAACAGTAATTGTGTATTCTGTGTTCAGATTTTATTTGCTATGTATGATTATAATGTTTAACCAAAGTGTTTTGCTGTATGATAAAAACTCATAGCATATATATTCAATCAGTATATCAATGATATTCCTCATGTCAATTTTCAAGATACTGAATTCTAACTGTATCAACAAAAATATTCCACAAAAATTGATTAAACCAGGTACAGCATCTACTAAAACGGCAATTGTATGTAAGATACCTAAGATTTAGTTTACGTTAGTCAGAGATGCATGGAAGATGCTTCTACAGTAACTGTGTTTCATTGAACCAGTCAAGGTTTCAGATGATGTAATTTCAGCAAAGGAATGACCAGATTAATTTTTAAGGAGCAGATTAAGGATTTTGGAGCAGGTTAAAGTTTTTGGAGCAGGTCTCATTTCCAGTTAACTATAAGCCCTATGTTGACCAAACTTGCAAACTGGTGATACATCTAAGGATGCACATTACCAGGCTGGCTTCAGATGCTGGATCTGACCTACATTTTCTGGAAGAGTGACCAAGTTAATGTTTTTGTAGCTGGTTCATTTTTAAAATAACTACAGTAGAACTTTGGTATCTCCAACTCCTCTATCTCGAATACCATGGATATGACAAAGTGATTTGGAAGTCCCAATCACAAATTTTTTTAAGTATTTTACCTTGGATATCTCAAATCCTTGGAAAGCTCATAGTTTTTTCTCGGTCCCATCAGGTTCCCAGATAATGAAGTTTGACTGTATATAAGCCCTATGATGACCAAACTTGTATGGATAAATAATGATACATTTAAGTGTGCACACTACCAATCTTGTTTCAGATGCTGGATCTGACCTAACTGACTTTGAAGATGAGTGACCAGGTTTTTGTGAATGTTTTGGTTCAAATCTATAAGAAACTATAAGGTCTATCGATCTGAACCAAACTTGCATGGAAGATGCATCAAGGGATGAACATTCTTAAACTTGCTCCAGATGCTGGATTTAAATTACATTTTCTGGATGGCTGACTAGTTTTAATTTCCACTAGTTTTAATTTCCAATTAAGTTTCATTTCCAAGTAACCTCTAGTCATGAATTAGGGCATCCTTGTGTAATCTGACCCCCTGTGTAATCTATCTCTCTGTAAATTTCGATGTTAAATATCGTTCCATTTTTACCATTCTCTGTTTCTTTGTATACTTTATAATCTGACACCCTGTCTATTCCGACATAAAATTCATCTCCCAGTACATGTTGGATAAGCCAGGTTTCACTGTACCAGATTTATAGGTCATACTATTAATACACTTAGTAATGGAAATTTGATCTTTATTCAACCTAAGTAAGACTCCAATTATTTTCTCAATGTAATATTGAAAAAAAAATCTAAAATTTTATTAAGAATTTTTTGCAACTATTACATGTATAAGTATAATGGAACATTGCATTCCCATGCCATGGATTACATGTTGTAAATAGTGCCATAACACAACATATCTAATACATGTACCCACTGGTCATTCTAGTTCAAACTTGGAAGTTTTTAGTGTTTGTTCAAAATCTTGTGTTGAGAATGAAATCTCCTCCATTTAATCAATTGGAGTGGGGGAAATGCCAGGCATTTGTTTACACTCGCCACAGAAAATGCCTTCCTGTGCTAGTCCATCTTAGAAAGGAACCCTTGTAATGAGCATTACAAACACAGGAAATCAATTCACACTGTATAGGAGCCATCCAAGTTGTCTTTTTCCCTCAAAAGATTTTTAAAAATTGCCCTGATCTAAGGAGTGCTGTAGCAATTGGATTCAAGATTGATCAAGCATGGTAATTAAATTGTCTCAAGATTTAGAAAGGCCACCAATCCAGATAAGGAACCAAATTAAAGTCCATTTTGGTGGATTTCTGTCAAGCAGTACAGATTTATCCCAGAATTGGAAAACTTTCAATAAAAGGCAGGAAGACTTGGCAGAAAATCAGATGTTCTCCATGTCTGATCTTACTACAGAACTTCTTGATAGAACACTGTACAAAAATCAGTTGTTTACCCAAAATCTGACCTAGGACTAGATATTACACTATAAGTTCCTTTTTATCTAAATAGTTTAAGTTTTTATCACAATTATTTAAACTATTATACAGAAGAATTTAACCTTACTAAAAATTACCATACTAAAAATGACTATTCATTTTGTGGTGAGCTCGAGTCCACCTGTTTGTATGTCACATCTTATGTTTTGATGTAATAACATGGATAATAGTAGTATTGATATGATTTTTCAAGTAATTTTTCCAAATCATCTTCCCTATGTAATACATTGTGTTCTAAATATTGAAATGAGAAATGCCGTTATCTTTCATTAGAGCAGAGTTCTTTATCGGTGAACATGTAATATTTTCTAAACAAAGAGTCATTAAGATTCTTTGAAATAACCAATCTTTGAAATAAAATGTATCATAAAAGGCATTAAAAGTTGAGATGGCTGCAAGATGGACTATTAATTCTTTGTTTTACCTTTAGAAGAAGCCATTGGTGTGCTTGTGATGTTATAAAATCTCATTTCTAGGGCTTAATCTGCTTTGATATTACTGTACAAGGCTTCCAAGTGCTCATCAAAGAAAAATTACGTTTCATTCCAAAAACAACACATATCTTGTTCCAATTTATTCCCACCAGAAAACCTTAATTTTCTTGTGTTTTTTCTTTGAGGTTTACAATTGCTTTCTTTCATCCTTGGGCCTCAGAAAGAATACACAGCATCATGGAGACATAAGAATTCAGATCCCTGCAGAAGAACTGCACCAAAGTGGTGAGTAATGGCTTGTCCAAAAAAACTAAACCTGAGTATTGAGAATCAATGTACCTGTCTGCTTGTCTAGAGATCGCACTCTATAAGTTAATTAGATTGAATTGTAAATACTGCTACTTCCACATCAATTATTTAAGGAGTTTAAATGCTTGAAATAGTTTTCCAATATAGATTTGTACTTCTAGGAGTCTTTGTCAATAAGAAATTTCTCTAATTACCTTTTTTAAAAATAAAATGAATTGTTACAAACACACAGGACAGGGTTGTATGTGTTAATAAACTGCTTAATGCTATTTTATGGGACAAAATATTTCAGAATTTACACTGAAGATACATGTAAACATGGTAAATAAGTAAATTTTAATCACCAAAGTAAATATCTAGTCATGATTTCATTCTAGATAAGAATCTTTTCTGTGAAAATTTTAATCTTTTTAATTAATTTATTATAAAATCCTAATATCATACAGTCATGTACTTATAAAGTCTCACTCTTCCATTCTTCCCAGAATCTCTCCATAGTTTACTGAGCTTGACCACTGTCCCCCCTCAGGCAGAGCTGACTGGACAGTAGAGGACACGCCTCCTGGACAGCTATGGGGGTCCACTTGGTAGGAGTTGTTTCGGTCATCATCTTCTACATCCTAATCCTAGGAGTGGGACTCTGGGCTGCCCGGAAATCCCGCGGGGAGACAGACAGCGAGAATGTGATGCTGGCGGGGCGGAATATCGGAGTTCTTGTGGGGGTGTTTACCATGACAGGTGGGTTATGATACTTAAACAGGGTTGTCCCTAAGAACAGGGGTCAGGGAATTTTCCCACATCAATGAGGAAATCCATCAAACCCTTGTTAAGGGAGGAATAATAGACCCCACCTCCTTTCTTATGTCCCCTGCTTTTTCAATTCTTAGGGACAACTCTGGTTAAATTTTTTAGCAACCTTGTACAAAGGTATGCTGAACGTGAAAAGAGAAACTGTGAAGTCCACATTTGAAGATTTTTTAAATGATGTTGCACGGAACTACGTCAACCAGTTAAATGGGACAAAGTAAAAAAAAAAAAAAACAAGAGGCCCATGGGCCACATCGCTCACCTGAGAAGCGTTGACCATTCTGTTCTTTACCAGATTTCCCCCTTGTTATACATAATGCATCCTCACCCTACCCCACTGATCATAATTTAGACATTTTGAAATCTACACTACCCCATGATCCTTCCATGGGCACATATGTTTCAGCTTTTTTGGCCCAGTGGTTCCTGAGAAGAAGATTTTCAAAGATTTTTCCTATATATTTCTATGTAAAACTTTGATTCCCTATAATGGCCCTGCCCTTCCCCTGGGGGTCATGATTCCTACAATTTAGAATTTACACTACCCCAGAATGCTTCCACATAAGCTTCACTTTTTCTGGCACAGTGGTTCTTGAGAAGATTTTCAAAGATTTTTCCTATATATTTCTATGTAAAACTTTGATTCCCCATTGTGGCCCCGCCCTTCCCCCGGGGGTCATGATTTGAACAATTTAGAATCTACATTATACCAGGATGCTTCCACATAAGTTTCAGCTTTTCTGGCCCAGTAGTTCTTGAGAAGAAGATTTTCAAAGATTTTCCTATATATTTCTATGTAAAACTTTGATTCCCCATTGCGGCCTCGCCCTTCCCCCAGGGGTCATGATGTGAACAATTTAGAATCTACACTATACCAGGATGCTTCCACATAAGTTTCAGCTTTTCTGGCCCAGTGGTTCTTGAGAAGAAGATTTTCAAAGATTTTTCCTATATATTTCTATATAAAACTTTGATTCCCCATTGTGGCCCCGCCCTTCCCCCGGGGGTCATGATTTGAACAATTTAGAATCTACACTACCCCAAGATGCTTCCACATAAGATTCAGCTTTACTGGCCCAGTGGTTCTTGAGAAGAAGATTTTTTAATGACCCAACCCTATTTTTGCCTTTTCTTGATTATCTCCCCTTGCGAGGGGATATGTCCCTTCATTTTAACAATTTAAATTCCCCTTTACCCAAGGATGCTTTGTACCAAGTTTGGTCAAAATTGGCCCAGTGGTTCTTGAGAAGAAGTCGAAAATGTGAAAAGTTTACAGACGGACAGACGGACGGACAGACAGACGGACGGACGACGGACAAAATGTGATCAGAAAAGCTCACTTGAGCCTTCGGCTCAGGTGAGCTAAAAAGCAGATAGGTTTTTTTTATTTTTATCAATTTCAAAATATTGACTTTTTAGGTCATAATTGTTCTAACATTAGATTTTGATAAAAAGGGGAAAATATAATAAGAGGGTGACCTCAGTGCTTCAGCTCAAAAAGACATCACTATGTCACAAGGATTAAGTTTTCATCAAGACATTTGTATCAATTGTCAAATATTGTACATACTTGTACTCTTTAGATCATTTTTTTATATCTCTGTATTTTAGTTATGGGACTCTCAAACATATCAATTTACCATTTTTTATGTGTGTTAGATATTTTCTGGGGGGTTTTTTTCTCCAAGAAATATCTTTAGCTGTCATAAAATGCAATTTTATGGAAGAAAATCAACCATAATTGTACAAAAGAAGCTTTTGTTGTCAAATCAAAATGCTTAATGTCGGAAAAGGGGAACTTTACAATTCATCAAGTTCCTCCAAGGCACACTAATGAGACCAATTAATTTTTTTTATTCCCACAGTGAGTAGATTTTTGTATTTTTTTTTTTTTTAAATTCCTGCAATGATATCCAGTTTCCAATGTATTGGAAATATGTTTAGTGAAAGAATTTTTGAGAATTATGCGTAAGAATGAGATTTTAGTTCTTCGCTTTGATTTCAGACAAGATTAAGGATTAGAACTGCTGGATCAAAGCAGAGAATCTACCATCCAGCAAAATGTTACAATAAATAGTTAATTAGGGAAGCAAAATGTGACAATAAATAGTTAATCAGGGAAGAAACACATTTAGAGTCATAATCATTAGTGATCTATTTTCCTCTTTTAGGAAAAAACTCCCAAGAGAAAAAAAACCCAAAGACTTGTTATGAATTCCCTTTGATTTTTGTTACGTAGAATTATTTCAGGATTGAGGTCTGTTAGCTGAAATAAAGATCTAATTAACTTCTTGTCTCTCAGAAATCTGCGTGTATGAAACAGTTATGTTATAGGAGATTTTGTTCACTAATTAAAACATTATTTTTCATAATAATGCATTGGCCTGGTGAAAAAATCAATATACACACAGCATCAATTTTATTTAAAGATGTAACATAGGTCATGTAGTGTAAATTATTTTGAGATGGTTTAAAGGTTTTTCAGTAAATCAGAGCACTTCAATCTATAAGAAAGATCCATTAAAGCCTTTCCAAGTTTTAAATATAATGTTTAGCATCCATCCCAAGATTAAAAAACCAGTTTAATCTGTCTATTTTGGAAAAACACACACAAACCAACAGGTAAAAACCACAACATTATTAATATTAGCCTTAGAAAAAAAGTGTTTAAAAAAAATTAACATTGGTGTATTTCCTTCATATTCCAATGCAGGTTTGTCCTTAAGATATGAAATAGATGGATACATTTAAAAAGAAGAAGGGGATCTGGGGTTACTCTCCAAATGGAGGGTTTAGGAGGAATACCAAATAATCGGGGAATTACATCATTATAGGCAGGGAAATTTCCCGGTCCCCAGCTCATAAGGACAATGCAGCGATGCAAAAAAAAAAAATGGTATTTTAAAAAACATCTTTGGTACAAATTAAAAAAAAATGTGGAAAATCAGATACCAATCAAAATGCATAAATGGGTTGCAAATCTATTGATTTTTTGGTGATTTTTTTAATACCTCAAAACCCATACATCTGGGGATGTTAAACAAAGAAAAAAATTGCTGTGGCCTTAAATTTTGTAGACTTTCAATGATATTTCTTTTTGTAGTTTTTTTCATTATTAGTTATGTCTGTTTAGGGAGTTGAAAATATACTTGGTGGTCCAAAAGAATCAGTATGAACTTTCCAAAAAGCAATGCTTTAGAGGATAAACAGCGTCGATTTGGTTATTGAATTTTGTTGGACAATCAGTGGTTTGATAACTAATTAGGAAGAAGGAATCGATCTCGTGGACTAGGTAGACATGCAACAATGTATAATTTTGGAGAAGACGTGGGTCTGAAATTGCGAATTTGGAAGGGAATATGACTTGCAACAGATAGCCATTTTCCTCCACCTAAATTGTAGCTGATCTAGCTTACCTCATTAACTAAGATGCCAGCCTAATCAATAAAGGTTCTCTTTTGCCAGTCTTCCAGATGATTGTGTCCCCTTAATAGATTATAAAGGACATTTCAGTTGGGGGAAATTTAATGTACATTTCTGGCCTTCTTGAGTTGAGAGCTATACATTCATTAATGAAGATATTTAACCCCCTGTTGATAACACTGTGACAGGGCTACCAAAGTAATGTGTTTATTATTTTGGCAAAGAATTTTATAGGTTGTAGCTGCATGTTTAGTCACTTAAATTACCTCCTGATGCAGAAGACCTTAAGGTCAATATGGATAATTTGATCATTATCAGTCCTAATGTAGGTATATTGCCATGCAAAGAGTGATATTGGAAAACTTGGTTGGTACAAGAATGACTCTTTCTGTTTCAATCTCTGAAAAAGTCCCACAAGTTTTGTTTTATAGCTATAAAACGTAGAATCAGTGAGTCAGTAGTCATTTTTAAACTCAAATTTTCAGAATTTGTAAAGAAAATCTTACTACCTATACAAAGAAGTCAATGTTCATTAAATTGAATTAAATGTTGTTTTTCTTTTTTTAAACTACACTTGTTTTATATAGTGCACTATTAATCTATTGTAAAACTTTCTCTGTCAATATTAAAATCCCCCCCCCCCCCCCCGAAAATATATTAACATGTTTGTGGGGAAGTATACATGCATATGCATAGTGGAAGTTATGCAAGTAATGATTTATTCAAGCAATGAATTCTTTTTTTGGATTATTTATTGAAAATTTTTCACTTATATGGAGATGCCACCACAAGTGGAGAGCTACAAATTTTGTCCTATACTCGGCAATCTGGACCATTGAGCAGGGAGGGATCATTTACGTGCCAGCACCTACTGGGACATGGGACCACGGTTTATATGGTCTCATCCGAAGGATCGGACTCCCTGCTTCGGGACTCTTGCGCAGACGCTCTAACCACTGTGCCACTTGGGCGACTATGACAATAGATAAATTGAATGTGAGTCTCAAAGGAAATGGTTAATAAATGTATATGCAAGCTATTTTGATTTGAAAATTTTAATAAAGCGAAGGGGGGGTATTTGTTTTTTTAAATGTGTGCAAACAATACAATTTTGATGTAATCAGTGTATTGAAAGTGTATGTAGCACCTATTGTGTATTATATTCAGTGCCTATTTGTTCAATTGTTGATAGCCTATTGAATACTGTATGTTACCAAGGGCTCACATTAAGTGAATGTAAATATATTGGGATGGATATATTAAATTCCTTTGAAAGGGAATGCTCCACTTTGTGATGCCCTTAACTGTTATTCAGCTCTGATGACTGAAAATTGCTGTGTTAATGAACAGTAGCTTCCTTTTATTCAAATTTTGGGTAAACATTCACTTAAACTAATTATATAGAATGTGATTCCCATCACATGTAATTGATATGTAAAGTGCTATTTGTATATACACATTATAACATGCAATCATGCCCTTATGCCCCATTTGGGAGCAACCCAAAG